AAATACACTAAAAAGGCACTAAAAGTATGCTTGTGTTTAGCATATTCCTTAAAAGTGTAACTAAGCATATATTTATTACCAAAGTATTTCTAGTATACTTTTTATAAATACATTAAAAGTATGCTTCTGTTTAGCATATTTCTTAGACGTATAACTAAGTATATATTTAATACAAAAGTACTTCTAGTATATTTTTTTGAAATATATTCAAATGCAATTCAATATATTTTTATTGCACTTCAAATAAGCATGTTGGGAATACAAATGTATTATAAACATACTACTTGAATTTCAAGTATATTTTTTATACATTTAATACTACGTCGTTTTCACCGGGGATGAGGAAGGGTCATCTGGTCTGATGAATGCTTTTACTGGATGTGATATTTATTTTGTGCACTGTGTGATACACAAATATGGAAGTGTGTGTGTGTGTGTGTGTGTGTGTGTGTGTGTGTGTTTAAAGCCTTTTAAAAACTACACAAAATATACAATATTTGTGCCTTTAACATCCCTGTAAAAGCCATGCAAACATTTTGATTTGGATAGTTTGTGTTTCATTTTATTGGATTTTATTTATTCATGTTATAATATGTGTTTCTCTGGTTAGATAAGGAAATAATGTGAATTTGTGTGACCAGTGAATGAATTAGGTTATATAGATTATTTAGAAGTGTGAATTTCCTATAGAATAATTACATAATCATGTATACTGTTGAAAATTTTCAGTAAGGTTTTTCATGTCATATAAAGTTGCTGCTGCTATTTTTTAGAAAGTGTGATATTGCTCTTTGTATTGAGAACATACTGTATTACGATTATTGTATCATCGTTTTATTCATGTACATACAGTACTATGGATTTAGTGCTTGGTTCTTACTTATGCATGAACTACATGATATTAATATAAAGACAAGGGCACATAATGTCGATGGCATTCACCAGTTTTACTAATGCAAAAGAATTACCAAAAGCCAAGAACGAGAAAGAGAAAAGCTTTTATAAACATAAATTGGTTAAAAAACAACAACAACAATTCTCTCACAAAAGCCATCAATCATAGGAGTTTTAATTTTTTTAAGCAGCATCTCGTTTTAAAGAGCTTTTTGAGTTCACACTATTTGCAACTTTTGTTGATTTGTCACAAACTTCTAATACTAGAACATAGTATTATCTTTATGGTTTATGTAGGCTACTGAGAGGTGTCGGATTTCAAGGATGTCTTAATGAAAAAGATAGAATAAGTCAAATCATTTAACACTGTGATGTGCAAAAAAGGATGATTGAAATGAAGATGAATACTGTCATTAAACACATCCTTCATACAGTCTGGCAGCACTTCAACCTGAGGACAAAAATAGCAATGAACATGAAAAGAAAGACAAGACTTTGTTATAAGAGTTACAATAAAAATAAATCCCACTGCAGAGACCACCAGACTTGTTTACTAGTTTAGCCTGCAGGAGTAAAATAAAGACCATTCAGACCAGGTAAGTGTTGCTAGTGAACAGCATGGGTATGGCGGCCTATCTGCTAACCAGCATAAAACACCCTGGAACTGTGTGTAAATTCATGGTGGTCTGAGGTGGTGATCTCAGCAGAGAATCACAAATGCAAGTGTCAGTAAAGATTTAACGTACGGCAGTAGAGTCTGTTAATCCGCAGGATGTCATTGCGGCTCATACTTCGAGCTTCACCAATCACAACATTCCTATCAGGAATGGGAATCATGGTTGGCTCGTTGTTCCTGGAGAAAGCTTTCCTAAAACAACACACATAAAGAAACAACAGTAAACTCTGATGAAAAAAACCCCCTGTTTTGTACAGAACTACAAGAACACTTACCTTGAATAGTGCATCACAGATTTGTAGTCATAGGGGGTTGCCAGGTTATTGGTTTCTCTTCTCATGAAATTGTGCCGCTGTGCTGTTACAGTGAATATTAAAGACTATAAATGTAAACGTGGTAATTACACTGTGAAATTGAATCTAGACTACAATTGATGTGATTAAATGTAACATGCCATGTTTTATCCATTTTGTTTGATTTAAAACATAAAATTAATCTTTTTTGTTCTTGTTTCAATTTCTCAGAAGAGTTCTAAAGAAAAATACCAGGTTTGATGTTCTCAAAAAGGATTTTGATGTGTTTGTCGCGGTCGCTGCGGTTCTGTTCATGATGGAACCCGAGAGCATGAAGGAGCTCGTGTTGAACAGTACGGTGATAGACACAACCAGGACGCTTGAGAGAAACAACCTGTCCTCCACCTTGGCGCCCCAAATATGAATAGCAACTGTGGATCACACATCAGCAATCAGGTTGTATATTTATGTTTTGGGAAAGCACATTTACTATATAACAGAAATGGGTTAAAAAGGAGCCATAAATCAGGAGATTTACCCAGAATGAGACTTTATGTAGAGAAAGTGCCTCTGCCCTTCATGTGGTACGAATCGAATGCAGGAAACATCCACAAATGACCACAAGCCCCTTTCAATCACTTTTAGTTCATCTGGAGCTGTGGTAGGGGTACAATATTAATAAGATCATGTGACACTGATGAGATATCAAAAGTAGTGATCATTGTCACTTACAGTACTGGTTGGAGATCACGTAGGGCACATAGACCAATCCATCTGTGCTTCTCTCCCATTTGCATTCACGAGCTGTGCACGGATCTGCATTCTTGAACCCTGTTGATACGGCGATGTCTCCAAACGTGATCAAGGGCCCATCCACTCGCTGTCCTGTGTGGTACACAGTATAATGCACAAAATCATTCAGTCTATTGACACTGATAATATAATTGAATGAATAAGATGAAGAGGAATTTGCCATCAACTGCTACACAAAAGATGTGCCTATACTATCAAATCATATAGCTTTCATACTCTTACCTGCATGTTTGTTGGACTGGATTATAGTTGACACTGGCATGTCATCTTTCTTAGTGATGTTACCTGAGACATGAATCAATAAATTATTAATAAAACACTATAAAAGTTACAAGTTAGCTTTTATTTTTCTTTCTGTGCATCTTACCAGTCTTCCCAGAGATCTTTTCGAATAAATCCTGTTTATGAATTTTAAACACATGCACATTAGAAATTCTTGACAAAAAAGAAAAACTACCCTTAATGGGAAACTGCTGATGATATAATATTTCATTTCAGATATTATTGTCTGTTCTCACCTCAGTTGGACGACTCTGAGCGGGAACAGAGCTCAGAAGAAGAGAGACGACCACCACCAACAGGTACATGTTGAGAGCCTTCTGAGAAACTGTTCTGGATCAGACAGAGCTGGGAGCTATATACTCTTCTGAGAGTCTTAACTTCCTTTTGCCTGTTAGTTTATCAGTTATTTATTATTTTATCACAAACCCCAGTGTGTTCTGTTGCAGTGCAGGCCTGGAAGAATAAATGAGCAGATACAGAGAGCCGGTGCACTACCAAAGCATTCTCAACTTTATTAAGGAAGATGGTTCATATTTATACAAACAATATCAGCCCAGATGTCTCAGACATCCAATCAAAGTATTCAGAAGTTATACATTACCCTATATGGATAGAAATAAATATAGTTGTTGGTTATAAGAGGCAAGTAAGGCATTCTAGACTGTGGTCAAGCAAGATGTGATTTAAAAAAAAACTGTGTGCACATTTGATCGTGATTACAGTAATTTCAGGAACAGCAGAAAGAGAATGCAATTTTAGAGTGCTTCTTTTTTAGTTTCCCAGAACTGTGAGAAAATATAACAAGATGTCATGTTTCAAAGAACTGGCTATTCTTATTACAAATTATGTATATGGTGTGAATCAGTGGGGTGCGGTGGTGTTTTAAAATGAGGAGGCAGTTATATATATATAAATTAATGTCCCTGTTACACTTAATGTTGTCACATTTTCTTGGTTAAATAAAAATTACATGAAAAAGACAGAACAAATACAATTCTATTTTGTATTTTATTATTTTTTTCAATAATTTAAATTCTAATTATACATTTCATAGTGTTTTTATGCATTTTTACATTTATTCCAAAATAACTAAAGGCAGTACCAATTTGAACAATATTTTGGAAACACTTTACAATAAGGTTTCATTAGTTAACTACTTTAGTTAACTCGAACTAAGAATGAACAATACTTCTACAGCATTAATTAATGTTAGTTAGATGCTATTTACACAAAGTGAAAATAATTATTGTATTTACACTGTTAAAATAGTAGGATTTTCTGCTATTTATACTACTTATTGCAAACCTTGGTTCCCTGAGATAACGAGAACAAGCATTGTGTGAATCACGCTTAGGGAATGATGTCCAAAAGAGCCATGCTAGGGAGAGGCCCTTAGGAGTGTGGACAGATCTCAGGTCAGGATGGCATGAGGGTGAGGTGGGTTCAGTCTCCTGGCTTCTCTCAAGAGCTTAATGACTAAGCCATGCGCATACCTACAGACTGGCCACCAAAAGAGCGTGATTCGCTGCAATGGCTGCCACGTATACTTTGAGCACATAATGGACAATACATAACAGGAGGATTGGTCTTCATCCTCAACTGTGCACCAGTCAGAAAATACAGACCATTTGACAGCATAGAGGCGTCTTGCAGATGGAGCTATAGCTTCTGAAACAGTGTTGACTACCCTCACTGGGAGCTGCAAAAGCTCCCATCGAGGGGTGAGAGATTGAGAGATGAAGGCTCCACAACTTGGGTTGGAGGTGCCATAGTGATCCTCTCGCTTGGGAGAGAAAGTCCTTCCTCAGTGGGATCTTCCAAGGAGCTGCCAATGACAACTGTACCCACTCAGGGAACCAGAATGGTGCCACTAGAAGGACTGAGCACCTGACCTACCTGATTTGTCTGATGACCTGAGGGAGCAGAGTGATCATGAAAAAGGCATACAGGCGAGCACTGGTCCATTCGTGGCATCTTGTTCATTTGAGAAAAATGTTGTGCAATGAGAGTCTACCTATGCCTTCCCGAAGATCTCCCAAATCATCTGAACCGTGTAGAGGAGATTCACTGACCCAGGACCACATGTGCACTCCTTGGTTCAACTTGCCATGCATGTGCACTGCTTTTAAGGACTGCTCCCTTCAGTGTGCTTACAAGAGGCGGCACCTCACCATTCTGTAGAGGGACCATGGCCTGAGACCGCCCTGGTGAATTATAAAGGCTACCATATTCATGTTGTCCGAACAGAGGAGGATATGGTGCCCTTTTAAGGCTGGACGGAAGGTTTTGAGGGCCAGAAAAACCACCATCCTTTCCAGGCAGTTGACATGCAGTAGCTGCTCCAGGCTGGACCAGAATCCAAACACCAGTCTGTCATCGCACAGTGCCCCCCAATCTGAGTTGTAGGCATCTGTCATGACTACCTTTCTTCTGGAGGTCAGTCCCAGTTGGATGTCCGCTTGGTACAGGCATTGGGGCCTTCCAAGGGGCCATGGCTCTAACACAGCAATGGGTCACCGTCTCTTATGCCAAGCACGGGATGGGACACAGGCTTTCAGCCAGTATTGAAGGGGCTGTATATGGAGCAGGCCCAGTGGTACCACAGAAGATGTGGCTGAAAAGCCTCTACTTTGAACGCTGAATTCTCAGTGAGCATTGTGGCATGAGCAGGCCCGTATCTGTGCTGAGTCAAGAACTTCCCAGTATACAGCCCTTCCATTCGGACTGTCCCTGGCTCCACACACTTTTACGAAGTGTATGGTCATGGCTCTCTTGTCACTGAGACAGAATTATCTCAACAACTGGCTAGTATAAGCCTGGTTGGAAGGGCAATAGCTCTGCTCCTCAGTCACCTGGAGCGCCTTGGGCTCAGAATCAATTCAACCAAAAGTTCTCCCAGCCAGTAAGTCACTTTTCTTGGGTAAGTCATCCTCTCAAACGTGAATCTCAATAACAGTCTGTGATAAGGGGCTATCTTAATATTAAAGTAAGCATCTTTCAGATCCACTAATAAGAACCAGTCTTCTGGGCAAATTTGCGTGAGGATTTGCTTCAAAGTCAACATCTTCATCAAGGCGTGGTACAGGTGTCTGAGATTAAGGATAGGCCTGAGACCCACCATCATCCTTTGAAACAGGGAAACATTGGCTGTAGAAGCCTGACTCATTGAGTACTGGTGGGAGCGTTTCCACAGCACTCTTCGCCAGCAAACACTTTAATTCAGATCAGAGAATGTAAGCATTGTTGTCCTGGACCGAAGTTTGGATCACACCCCTGAAGTGAGGGGGTTTGCGAGAGCAAATTGGAGCGAATAGTCTCATTCTATAATCTGCAGAACTCACTCGACATGCATGAATGGCTTCCCAGGCCTGAAGCCAGGCAGCGAGGGGTCGGAGTCTGTTGAGTGGCAGACTCTGGGACCAGCCTGGGGTTCGGGAAGAGAGTAGTGCTGTCTGAGCTCAGGCTCTGCTGTAGGAAAGTGAGGGTGGCCAAGACTGAAAAGTAGGTGCAAACTGACCACTCCATCCTCGACGTCCTTGGCTTCTTCTTTGGAGTCAGCGAGGAGATGATCTTCACACTGAAGGAGAAAGATTCTGATGAAACGACACTCATCAGAACATAGGCAGTCGTCCAAGACCATTTTGGTGGACTGAAATTCCATTGGTTTGTACAGCTGCACAAATGTTAACAAATCAGGCTTCAGTATTCAGAGAAAATGTAGTTTCCCCCAAGCATGATTCACACAATGTGAAAGACCATTTCAAAAGGGAGCTTGTGTATAAATAACTATCAGTTTAATTTCTCAACATTTTGTCATTTATACTTACTATCTTACATCTTGCATCTCTAGACTTTATTGTCCCTTTAGGGAAATTCTTATTCACAGCATCATTCCATTCCACAGAGAGTGTCACCATGACACAACATCATGTCAAAAGTATTACACATCTAGGGCTACGTTTACACGATAATGATGTAGTTAAAAACAGAAACGATTTTCCCTTGCGTTTTTAAAAAGTTTCACGTATACATTACATTTTCAAAACTATTCGCGTTTGCACATATCCGCAAAAATGGCCAAAAACACTGTATTACGTATGCCAGGCCAGTAGTTGCCGCTGTCACCTTGTTAGTAAACAGTATCTGTAGGGAAGTGACGATTGTATCTTGTATATGATGCGTCTCCGCTGTTGGTTGTAATATTGGCAGTGGTGGGCCGTCAGGGCCAGCAAAGCCTTCTCTGCTGGCCTAAACACTATCAGAATCACTGATTTACTGAATATATTTTTCCATGAATGTGTATTAAATTATTTCCAATAGTCTATTCTCTTCAGTTCATAGCTTTTCTCTTGGTTGCACTGCTTCCAGCAGTGTATTTTTTATATTAGAGCTTTTATCCAATCATATTTCAGCAATCGTGTTGCCAGGGTCAAAGAAATCTGCCTTAAGGCCTTCAGAATCCACAGTGCAGGCGTCTGTTAGCTTAAATCAGTGGCAATGAAACCGTTGCTTTAACCAATCAGATTTTGAGTTGGCAGCACCAGGGCCATCTAGCTGGCTAACGATAACATCAGCATTTTCTCGTCTTTTGATTGGATGGTCAGCGTTAGCAAACTCTTGAGCAGCAACAACAGTACCATATACTCTGCCATTGTTGTGTATGTTTGTTCACGCTTGCCTTTAAAATCGACATGTACTGCACATGTCTACATACCTAACACCAGAGCTGTTTCACCTTTATTTATATAGCACTTTTAACAATACAGATTGTGTCAAAGCAACTGTACAGCATTAATTAGGAAAACAATTTGTCAATAATGCAAAATGACAATAGTAAACACTCAATTTTCAGTTAAAGGCAGTTTATCATTGTTTCTCAACGGCTCTGTCTAACACGTACTATGCACGCGCATTACGTCACTGTTTTCAAAGATTCCCGTTTTGGGTGTTTACACGGAAACGATAACAGTGGTGTTTTCAAAAACTTGCACTTTGAAACCCATTTTCAAAAATATGCATTTTCAGTCCCCAAAACGCTGTTTTCGTGTAAACGAACGGGCAAAAAGCATAAAAAGTTTTTGGCTGAAAACGTTGTAGAGTAAACGGCCCCTAGATGTCAAAAAAATATGTTAGCAAAGTCTGCCCTATATCATTGTCTGCATCCTGGCCTATTCAGCGAGGCCTTTTGTTCAGGGCCTCTATAACAGCAGGAATCAGGCTCTTCCTGAAGCGAGCGCTTCTACACCTTAGTACCCTGTTTCTATGTCCTGAAGGAAATAGGGTGAGGTACCAATTTAATGGATGCGTAATATCCTGCCCTATTATT